CGCTATTTCCATGGAAAGTGCTCAGACGAACTACATTCCATAGTTCTAATATTCACGGTAAGGACCGCTATGCTACGCACATCGTAGCGGACAATCCTCATTCCCTTGATATCCTGTTGTTTAGAAGTAAATTCTGCTTGAACAGTTTCTTCAACAAACCACTGCTTTGTAGAACCTTCTCCCAAAGGAATACTTCCTCCTTCACTGCAGTCTTAAGCTGATAAATTTTAGGGTTAATCGTTATCTTCCCCACATATCTGCTTAAGCTGTGTCTTCTTTAGTAACCCTCTACCTCAAGTGGCTCCCAGACCTTGTACAGGGTGATTGCCAAAAAATAGAAATAATGGCCAAAGCTATTAAAAGAATAATACTCTCTGACACGCATATTTTTGCATCTAGATTAAAATCAGCATTGTTTTTCAGGGTGTTGTAATTATATTTCCATCAGTGTATATACAGCGGAATCATTATTTACTAAAGAAATAAAGCTATCAATGGGTCGCCATGAAGGTCTAAGAAAGTAGATATCTTTAACTGTTGATTAAATCCTTCAGATTGCAATATGGTCAGATTTCAGTACGATAGGAAACCAAAGAAGAAACAATATGCAACGAAATCATTGCGATACGACACCGGTCAACAAAAATGAGCGCGATATGAAATAACGATTAATAGTTTCAGTGCATCCATTAACACCGAAGAAATAAGTGACTTCTGAAGACATCTAATTACAACTGGCGTTGAAGAAAATGGATTCCCGCAGTATAAAAATAAATGGCTTTCTTAGCAAAAAGCTTATAAAGAGGAAATAATTAATTGGAAAACAACAATTATTTTACCAATATCTTAAAAGAACAACTTCTAAACTTAAAGAATAAATCATACTTTCATTACAATATTCAAACGTAAAGTTATTGCTTGCAATAGTGATATTAGTAATGATTTAGATATATATAAATACACTCTGATACTTACAGTGTGTTAGATTTTACACAAAGTTTTTAAGATATGCGATGTTTGTTTTATCCTTATTGTCACCTTCATTATGATATTAAAACGTCATCATAGAAAGCATTACAACCGTCGTCTCATAGTATTAGAAATATTTTTTATGTGCCTAATATAAAAACTGACATTTCAAATTCTCGACTGTTTCGATTTTGTTTATTCTAAAACGTTCTCGCTTTAGAATCTTATTACAGTACAAGGACTATAGACAATAAGACAGAGAGATTGTGTCGGTGACAAAGTAGATTTATACACCGTTAAGACGACCTTTCAAAATTCTTCACTAGTGTTGTGTTATCACATACATCACTCGAACTGTAAAGAAAACTGCTTTCAACTTGTTCTCGGGTTCGTAAATTATTCAAGTAGATTTATACACCGTTAAGACGACCTTTCAAAATTCTTCACTAGTGTTGTGTTATCACATACTTCACTCGAACTGTAAAGAAAACTGCTTTCAACTTGTTCTCGTGTTCGGTAATTATTCAAGTAGATTTATACACCGTTAAGACGACCTTTCAAAATTCTTCACTAGTGTTGTGTTATCACATACTTCACTCGAACTGTAAAGAAAACTGCTTTCAACTTGTTCTCGTGTTCGGTAATTATTCAAATAGATTTATACACCGTTAAGACGACCTTTCAAAAAAACTTCTTCACTAGTGTTGTGTTATCACATACTTCACAATTAAGGCGACCTCCAACTGTAAAGACAACGTCTTTCAACTTGTTCTCAACTTGTTCGTTAATTATGCAAGTAGATTTATACACCGTTAAGACGACCTTTCAAAATTCTTCACTAGTGTTGTGTTATCACATACTTCATTCGAACTGTAAAAAACTGCTTTCAACTTGTTCTCGTGTTCGGTAATTATTCAAGTAGATTTATACACCGTTAAGACGACCTTTCAAAATTTTCTTCACTAGTGTTGTGTTATCACATACTTCACTCGAACTGTAAAGAAAACTTCTTTCAACTTATTCTCGGGTTCGGTAATTATTCTTGAGTCGATTTATACACCGTTAAGACGACCTTTCAAAATTCTTCACTAGTGTTGTGTTTATCACCGTTAAGACTTCCTTCGAACTGTAAAGAAAAACTGCTTTCAATTTGTTCTCGGGTTCGGTAATTATTCAAGTAGATTTATAAACCGTTAAGACGACCTTTCAAAATTCTTCACTAGTGTTGTGTTATCACATACTTCACTCGAACTGTAAAGAAAACTGGTTTCAACTTGTTCTCGTGTTCGGTAATTATTCAAGTAGATTTATACACCGTTAAGACGACCTTTCAAAATTCTTCACTATTGTTGTGTTATCACATACTTCACTAGAACTGTAAAGAAAACTTCTTTCAACTTATTCTCGGGTTCGGTAATTATTCTCGAGTCGATTTATACACAATTAAGGCGACCTTTCAAAATTCTTCACTAGTGTTGTGTTATCACATACTTCACTCGAACTGTAAAGAAAACTGCTTTCAACTTGTTCTCGGGTTCGGTAATTATTCAAGTAGATTTATACACCGTTAAGACGACCTTTCAAAATTCTTCACTAGTGTTGTGTTATCACATACTTCATTCGAACTGTAAAGAAAACTTCTTTCAACTTGTTCTCGGGTTCGTTAATTATTCAAGTAGATTTATACACCGTTAAGACGACCTTTCAAAATTCTTCACTAGTGTTGTGTTATCACATACTTCACTCGAACTGTAAAGAAAACTGCTTTCAACTTGTTCTCGGGTTCGGTAATTATTCTTGAGTCGATTTATACACCGTTAAGACGACCTTTCAAAATTCTTCACTAGTGTTGTGTTATCACATACTTCACCCGAACTGTAAAGAAAACTTCTTTCAACTTGTTCTAGGGTTCGTTAATTATTCAAGTAGATTTATACACCGTTAAGACGACCTTTCAAAATTCTTCACTAGTGTTGTGTTATCACATACTTCACACAAACTGTAAAGACAACGTCTTTCAACTTGTTCTCGGGTTCGTTAATTATGCAAGTAGATTTATACACCGTTAAGACGACCTTTCAAAATTCTTCACTAGTGTTGTGTTATCACATACTTCCTCGAACTGTAAAAGAAAACTGCTTTCAACTTGTTCTCGTGTTCGGTAATTATTCAAGTAGATTTATACACCGTTAAGACGACCTTTCAAAATTCTTCACTAGTGTTGTGTTATCACATACTTCACTCGAATTGTAAAAGAAAACTGCTTTCAACTTGTTCTCGGGTTCGGTAATTATTCAAGTCGATTTATACACCGTTAAGACGACCTTTCAAAATTCTTCACTAGTGTTGTGTTATCACATACTTCACTCGAACTGTAAAGAAAACTGCTTTCAACTTGTTCTCGTGTTCGGTAATTATTCAAGTAGATTTATACACCGTTAAGACGACCTTTCAAAATTCTTCACTATTGTTGTGTTATCACATACTTCCTCGAACTGTAAAGAAAACTGCTTTCAACTTGTTCTCGGGTTCGGTAATTATTCAAGTAGATTTATACACCGTTAAGACGACCTTTCAAAATTCTTCACTAGTGTTGTGTTATCACATACTTCACTCGAACTGTAAAGAAAACTGCTTTCAACTTGTTCTCGTGTTCGGTAATTATTCAAGTAGATTTATACACCGTTAAGACGACCTTTCAAAATTCTTCACTAGTGTTGTGTTATCACATACTTCACTCGAACTGTAAAGAAAACTGCTTTCAACTTGTTCTCTAGTTCGGTAATTATTCTTGAGTCGATTTATACACCGTTAAGACGACCTTTCAAAATTCTTCACTAGTGTTGTGTTATCACATACTTCACTCGAACTGTAAAGAAAACTGCTTTCAACTTGTTCTCGGGTTCGTTAATTATTCAAGTAGATTTATACACCGTTAAGACGACCTTTCAAAATTCTTCACTAGTGTTGTGTTATCACATACTTCACTCGAACTGTAAAGAAAACTGCTTTCAACTTGTTCTCGGGTTCGGTAATTATCCAAGTAGATTTATACACCGTTAAGACGACCTTTCAAAATTCTTCACTAGTGTTGTGTTATCACATACTTCACTCGAACTGTAAAGAAAACTTCTTTCAACTTGTTCTCGTGTTCGGTAATTATTCAAGTAGATTTATACACCGTTAAGACGACCTTTCAAAATTCTTCACTAGTGTTGTGTTATCACATACTTCACTCGAACTGTAAAGAAAACTTCTTTCAACTTGTTCTCGGGTTCGTTAATTATTCATTTAGATTTATACACCGTTAAGACGAACTTTCAAAATTCTTCCCTAGTGTTGTGTTATCACATACTTCACTCGAACTGTAAAGAAAATTGCTTTCAACTTGTTCTCGTGTTCGGTAATTATTCTTGAGTCGATTTATACACCGTTAAGACGACCTTTCAAAATTCTTCACTAGTGTTGTATTATCACATACTTCACTCGAACTGTAAAGAAAACTTCTTTCAACTTGTTCTCGGGTTCGGTAATTATTCAAGTAGATTTATACACCGTTAAGACGACCTTTCAAAATTCTTCACTAGTGTTGTGTTATCACATACTTCACTCGAACTGTAAAGAAAACTGCTTTCAACTTGTTCTCGGGTTCGGTAATTATTCAAGCAGTTTTATACACCGTTAAGACGACCTTTCAAAATTCTTCACTAGTGTTGTGTTATCACATACTTCACTCGAACTGTAAAGAAAACTGCTTTCAACTTGATCTCGGGTTCGGTAATTATTCTTGAGTCGATTTGCTGATGGGCATGAAATTCTATACTTAGTGTGTATCAATCTACATTTGCAGTCTTAACGGTCTTGTACTTTTGTAATTCTTCGTACCGTAATAAGCAAAATGGTCTTCTTTGCTTACGGTCACATCATTTAGGAAGAGCGGTTCCTGTGCGATTACCACAGGTAAGCAACAAATTAACCATATTACATCAGTATAATAGTACAATGTAAGTTAAATTTTTGTCCAGACAGGCTTACGAGCATATCACGTTGAAACACCAGTTTCCGTATGATTACCGAAGTTAAGTAACGTTGAGTCAGTACCTTGATTGGTGACCGCTTGGGAATACCAAGAGCTGTAAGCTTGGATATGCGTCTGATGTAATGGATAATAACTGGGAATTGTTAATCGCATAGCCAAGTTCCAATTCCAGTTGGGTTCGTTATATTCACTTACGCGCAATTACCCTTGGGAAAGGTATGAATCCACTTTTTCTCCCCCCAGTTATGGGTTTATTAGTAAGACGTATATAACTAAACCCATATTATCTCAAAAAATTCTTACTATCTAAAAATATTTTCTGTCTTTTAATAGCCAACAAAAGGGTTGATAAGCCGCAGGAAACGAATCAATTTATCAAAACGATCAGGTTTTCTGTAATACATAAAAAGAAAAACTCGTTGGTCAATCTACTGCTTTCAACAAGTAGTCAGCATTTTCTGTTTAAGTTCATAATGCACGAATTACAACAAGCTGAGTCTCTTCTTAATAGCATATTTGATAGAGGATCGCGTAGCTAATAAAAATCCCAGTAGTCATTTGGCATTTTCATATTTTATTATACAAATGAGAATCTAATAATTATAATACGCGCTCGTGTATTGTTTTAATCGGTATCACTCCAAGCAAGGCAGCAAAGCCACTAAAACGCAAGGGATTACAGGGGGTGAAAGAATTAGGAACAGAAACATTAATGAGCAGAAAGAGAAAAGAGTAACCAAGAGGACAGTAGGTAGAGATAGATATTGCATTTAAATTTTTACAGATTAAATTCGGTAGGAAAACATGGAGCTGGAAGCGAGATCCCAAAGCAAGAAGTGCGAGAAAAGAAACTGTTAGCATAGAACTTACGGTTACATCTAGCCAGCTCAACTATAAATTCATGAGATCTCGACACCATTATAGTACTGTGCTTAAATACATAAAGTCAAGGTACAATTACGAAGAGCTCATCCGAATAATTGCCATGAAAATGTTTATAAAAAAAAAGGCACAGAGAGGCAACCTTACGATGGTAGGTAAGTGCCTGAAGCTGAGCAGCTAGATAAGGACCAATAATATTAATACATCCGTCAAAAGAGTTGAGTATTTCAAATATCTTGGATCACACATTCCCAAAAAGACTTCAACATCCGTAAAGCTCTTGCATGGGATCCGTTTAACAAACTTCACAAGATCTGCCGCTCGAAGTTAAAACTTTTATGACACTGAATGAATCAGTCAGAGACTTAGGTATTATCTGTTTGTCTTGAAAGACGACTGGATGGAACATATACAAATCTGCTTGGAAAAAATCCAGAACATCTGTTGAAGGCCCCATGCATCGCTTAACACAATTTAGGGAGAACTGAAACCAATCACACTTAGAGTCTGTCTATATTTCTGAGATGAGGTATTATGTACATTATTTACATCATTCGGACTATTGTCCTCATCTTTGTCGCCATATTTATCACAACGTTTCGGCTGCTGTACGCTCCGGCCTTATGTGAAGGGGTTATCAGAGAAAATACAAAGGATCTGCGGTCCATATAACATCAGGACAACCTTCAAAAGTTTGACGACACTTCGCAGATATCTCTCCAGAGTAAGACCCCCCCCATAGAGGAGAACATGACTAAAGAGTGTGTGTACGCTATCCCGTGCAGCTGTGGAAAGGAATATAAAGGAGAGACAGGCCGCCCCATCAAGGCAAGGCTTCAAGTACACCAGAAAGCTGTAACACGAGGGGAAGTAGAAAAATAGGCGTGGCTGACCACATATGGAGAGAGAAGGGACATCACCGCCCTCTGTGGGATCATGTTGAGATTATATACAAGGAACACCATTGGAAAATTCGTAAACTTAAGGAATTAGCCGACCAAGTATAGAAATAAATACAATACGGGAACCAGTAATAAGGAGTGCCAAAGAAAAGCAATGATAACAACAAAGTTGCAATATGAGCTCTGGTAAAAACATGTTTTGATAATAGCAAAATTGCAATATGAGCACTGGTAAAAATGGTTGCTGAAGAAATTACCAAGAAATCCATACCCAGATGTCATCAAGGACACATGGATAAAGGCGTTGGTTAGATCCAGTGACAGGACCCAAAGAGTGTGAGTTCAATAACTTGTTAATGCAGAGGGAAATTAACAGGAGATAACTGATAACTGACATCCATCAAATATGTCACGTGGAACTAGAACAGTCGAAATAAAGAGCTCAGTTCGACATTCTAACCACCTGAAGAAGGGATAATTATGGCGACAAAGACGAGGACAATAGTCCGATGTAAATCTCACTTAAGCAGTTTGCCGGCCACTGCCACCGAGCGGACAGGGAAGTCGTTTCATACTTACTTCTATAGCATCCTTCTGGAGGTGACTTCTCGTGAAAGTCCATTTCCCAGTCACGATAGCTCAGGACTCAGGGTTGGACCATGGGAATCTAGGAACGGCAATACATGACCTAGCAGTGTGAAAAGGGATTGTTAATGAAGTTCCGACCAACCACAGGTCGAAGGATGATGATTTTAATGAAAGTACAGTCTGGTTTCTATTAAACACAATTTTTGCTTATACTATTTTCTATATTCTTATAATTTAATTGTATGCGATTACTGAACCTACTCTTTTGTCCCTGCTTATTTTGGTCAATGTTAGATCGAATATATAAGAATTTCTGCTTTTTCTCATCGCAATGTATTGACTTATAGCAAGATTTCTGTCTGCATTGTGGTTAATAGATATTTCCTCCCTTAACTTCCGTTTCATATATCTTGCCATGATATTTAACCTTTACTGTTGTGTATCTCAGAAAAGACTATTTGTTTTCTGTGGAAAGCTTCCATTTACTGTGTTTTACTTTTTTTTCTTCAAATCAGTTTGCGAACAGAATCAACGGTGTCATCTAATGTTGGACAACTGTTTTTTTTTTTCTTCTTTTTCATCTAAGTCCAGTAAACACTTTCCAGACAGCAAATATGGCGGATCAATACGTTCGTAGCTGGAAAGAGTAATTAGCTGGAGTTTTATACGAAACTTGCACTGTATAATGTTCGATCCATGAGATTGACGGACAATCGTTGAATTAAGCGCAGTGACATGGAAAAAGGCTTTTGAGAATAACACTTCTTTTATGTCCTGTTTCACTTTCACTATTATGCCTCTATACAATTTTAGAAAAAGTATAGTTTTTTGTTTGCCTCTTTTATCTCCCGCTAAGTCTGTACTCTGCCGTCCATTTACAAATGATCTTTAGATTTGTTGTTTACAGCTTCTGTCAGTTTTTTCTGCCTTTAATATATCCTCTATCCAAAAAACTTCAACTAATTCTAATTTTTATTCATAGTACATTTCTCGCTGTTGACATGCGCGGTCTATGGTATTCTCAGCATCGTACCTCTTCTTCGTATGTAAACATATTATTAAGTACTCCCTACCATCTTGGAGGTTTAATATTATATATCTGTTCATTGTGTAAACGAACGGGTTTTCTGTCATTTTATTACTCACGGAATATATATATTTTCTATTTAGTTTTCGTAAAACATAAGAAAATATTCGATAATTCTCGTTTATTCTAAAGCTTGGATCTATTATTTTCTCATCCTTACAAATAAAACATCTCTGCCATTTGAAAGGATGATGAGCTCACAACCGGCGCCGTTATGAGGTTTTTATTAGGAAAAAATCTTTAAAGGAACTGACATCAGAATATATCCCAAGACATTAATTATGCTGTCGATACTTGCAATCCTATAGCATGGATTTTGCTATGTTCTTCTATTAGGGAAAATATGAAAAAGCCATTTCTTAGAATATAGTACGATGGCGTTGGTCGACGTTAACATACCACCAGAATGCAATGCCTGAAATCAACATGGCAGTGGAAACAGAGGATTTGGAAACGGTTCTATCTTGTCTGATTATTCATGAAAAAGATAATTTGTAAAGTATCACCTCCTTACTGGCTGAAGATTAGATAAAAATGGAAATTTGGCATACATGAAGATGGTCGTTATATATGTTGGTGGATTATAGTAATTATAAAAAAGGAAGATAAAGAAAAATACTTACAGCCAGCAAAATGAAGTGATCTCCCTAAATATATATCGAGTTAAAGTTCAGGTTAATACTGATAGATGATGCGTTCGTTAATTAAACGTGTTTAATATTGCTTCTAATCGTCTTGACTATGCTGCCAGCAGTAGATACATTGATAAAAATGTATTAGTTTGGATAAAAAATATATGAACCTGGTTTATATCAAGTATTATGATGACGGGGACGCTCATATGAGTAATGCGAAAATGCTTAGGGTGATGAATAAATATCGGTGTTAATGATCTCACTCTAAAAAAACTAATATCAACATCTGTAATTAACTGCAACAAACGGATAGGTAGTTTCCATTGGGTGTAAAAAGCCATGCAGAATTTGATGTCTTAACTATATTTGATGCACCTGCTCTTCTTTATTTTTCAGATTTTTACACGCTATCACAAACATAAACATATATACAGCCACGTATGAAATAGCTACATAGATAGATAGATAGATAGATAGATAGATAGATAGATAGATAGATAGAAACGAGAAAGATAGCAACGAAAAAGATAGATAACATAAAGAAAGAAAGAAAGAAAAAAAGAAAGAAAGACACAGATAGACATACAGTAGGATATAATTATTTTAATAAAAATTGACAGAAATTTACTTCACATAGGTAAAAACTGAAATAAGAATCCCTGCACGCGCATAGTTTGCACTTCAGAAACAATACGGAGTTTATATCGTAGAATTGTTTAGAACATGCAATTATAAAGGGAGATTCGCCTTAGTCTGTAAAGAACATAACGATAAAAAGGTAATAAAATGTTTGTGACATCACCCTAACATATTCTATGAATATCTTCATGTGTTAATATTTAGTTCGGTCATTCTAACAAAGGTCAAGGTAAACCCAAAGAAAATATTCACATGAATACAAATGAACAAACTGATAATTATTATCTGAAAGCTTGGAAGTGAAAAATAATAGCACAGATAGACATTTTTTTAAAAGTGAGAGTAAGTTCTAATTCTGTAATATAAGA